CTGCAAGATTGAAGTTTCAGGATCTAAGAATATTCTTAAAGTACTTGTTAATAGTTTCTTGAATAAGATCAGGGTCATCTACTAGTTGATTATTGGAGTTGTATAATTTGAGGAGATCGATTTTTGGTTTAATTGTACCAAGTGCTTTCTTGATATAGCTCTTAGATTTGCTATAAAAATTTTTTACTATGTTCTCCAGATTTAGACAAAATTCCTCAATTGATTCTTGCTAGGCTTGAAGTAAGACTTCCTTGATTAAGAGTTTCTTTAGTTTCTGAAGGCCTTTGATCGAAATGTTAGGACTGTGGTTGGAGGTTTCATAAAGGAAACCTAGACTATTGTTATTTTAAATATAAATTAATGCTATCTAATAAATATTATTTTCAATACTACTTGTTTTTCTTAAGCTAATCTGATTACTTTAGTTAGTTAACTTTATATTATATAGATAGGTTTACATTTAGATGAGACTTATACAGAGGAGAAAAAATCCTATTACTAGTTTAAATCTATTATTTCTATTGGTCCAATCATATTTTTCAGCTGTTTATTGGAAAAGGTTATATAAGTATTATTATAAAGATTAATTTCAGTCATTTCAATTACCTATTATCATTGATACTCCGGATATGCCACTAGTATAATATTACATTGCCATTTTTACTATTTGTAGAAATGGTATTTTTGAATTCTGATTTAATTTTAAAAAATTCTTACTAAACTTATTTGATTTAAATAATTTTTATTTAAATTTTTATCATCTGTAGCAGATGACCTTTGTTTTTTGGTCTATTTAAGTTCTGAAAAACATTACTTTTGGGATAGATCTTCAAGCTTCACATTGGAATAAATTAGTTTAGGATTGATCTCTTTGGATTATGTGATGGAATCTATAATCTTCAGTCTGGATTAGAGTTTTTGTAAGCTTTTTGATAAAATTAGATTGGAAGTTTTTTCTTGTATAATCTTTTGTACTTCAATATGTTTTTAGCTTGTATTTGTTAGAAATACCAGATATTTTATTTTTATACAACTTAATTAAATTTGGATGTGATTGAGAATTATTGAGTATAATATATACAGGATATTCAGTAAATCTATTGTTATACTTGATTTTTGCCCAAGATTACTACTATTTCTTGTCTGATTTTTACTAATATTTACCCTTAGAATGTTACTTCTTCTATAATAATTCTTGTATTACTATTTTTGTTATTGTTTAGCACTGTGCTTTTTGTACTATTGTTGCTCTAGAATGTTTTTTATTTTATTTAATTATCTTTATTTTTTTATCTTCACCAGAGTATTTATTTCTATGTTAATATATATAGATAACTATTCTGACAAATATAATAATTCTTTTATATCTTAATTATTTCTTATAACATTTATTTATTATATACAAAAATATTATAACTAATATATATATATAAAGGCTTCAATTTCATCTAGAAATTAGCAGGCTTGAATTTATATTTTATCAAATAAATATCTTAATCTTTATAAAACAAATTACTATTGTCTTTTTCATTGATCTCATATATCTCAGAATTGTATTAATTGGTATGTTCTTAGGAACTTTAGCATATTATATTGGTTTTGTCTATTTAAAGTGCCTCTCTGCTACTAGTTCTCCACCTTTATTTTTCTCTTAAGGTAAAAATGATATATGACACTATATATGAAGATAAATAAATTTTTGCTTCTTGTGGGTATTGAACTAGGAACATGTGTTTAAAGATATGAAAGCACTATTCACTATGCTATTAATTCACAGGTCTTGAAAAAATTCTTGTTTTATTATAGATATAGAAACAAAAAATAAATATATAATAAAAAAGTTAACAATTCAATTCTTATATTCTATTTAGAGTACAAGTAATTGATTATAATTCTTTTAGTTTTTATATAAATTCTTATAGTAAATAAAATTAATTTTTATGTTATAGTCAATACTCAAAAGGTTTTTAGTCTAATTACATTATAAATATCTAATAGATTATATTAATATATTGTATAGTACAAAAGAAATTATATTAAAACTGAATAATTTAATAGTATTTTCAACTTTTAAAAAACAATATAATAATATATATAGATATAATAATAATAAACAAGTATATAATAGATTCAAAAATAAAAAAACAGCTAGAATTACAGTATAGTAAGCTGGCTAAAAAAAGTACAAAAAATCTATAAACTTATTAATATTATTAACAATATATTGGTCAGAATCAAATAAAACTAAGCATTTTCAATATAAATACTATAATAACTTGTATTAGTAAACAGGTTATTTAATGAAAAAGAGTAAATACAATTCTTTTTTCGCTTATTTTTAGAAATAAAATCCTGGGTAAAATTCTTTCAACGAGAAAGCTTTTATATAAAAGATATTCGAAAATATATAAAGATAATATTTCAAATATCTAATAACACTAGAAACCCAATATTATATTTTCAAATATTATAATAACAAAAAAGCTTATATAAAAGTTGAAGCCAAGATAAATTTAAAAATTATTGAACTTTTGAACAAAGCCAACTCCACTATTGCATATTATTTAGTAATTCAAAATTCTACTCATCTGTATTAATGAAAAATTATATCTTAAGAAACTCACATGTGGCATAACAGATCTAAAAACTCAACTCTCAAACAAGAAATAAGTCTAACTAATAAGCACTATTCTAATACTACTTTATATTCTAATATGGATATTAAGGTTAGCAATAGTGAACACTTTTTTAGCATTAGGAATTAAATAAACTAGATTATAATCAAGTCATATATTAAAAAAAAATTATTTTCATCAGATATATCTGATAGAAAGTTATTCCATAAAAATATATTATCAGCAGATTCTCAAGCCACTGAGTCAAATAGTTTACTCAATTCAAATTATTTTATTTTAGCTCTGAAAGGTTATTAACTATCTAGCACTATAATTAATCTAAGTTACATCAAGTATAATAAGGATAGTAATAGTTTGCATCATAAGTAGGTTAACATCAATTTACTTATTTTATTCTGTAAAGATGTTTGATTTAATTTGTGTATTGATATATGTACAGTACTTCAATAAAGTTTTGCATCTAATTTTCTTTTATAACAAATAAATATATATATATATATGAATATTCATGGATTTTTGATCTGGGCTTAAATAACCCAAGTTTAATTTAATCATATGAATATTCAAAATTTTAAGCCCAGATCAAATCCAATTTCTTATATAATCGTCCAAGTCCAACACATATAAAACTAATTTTTGGATATCCACGGATGGTTTAAGCCCATGCAGAACCCTAGTAACAACTACTTATGAATCATATGAAAATCCAGAAACAAAAACAAAGTTATGTAATACTGAGCAAATTTACAAAAAAAATGACGACTAAATGCTTTTAACAATAATAAAATAAATGAAATTTCTTAGCATATAAGTGAAGCTACCATATTATGCACGTTAATCCATTAGTGGAAACTTTCTGCTTCTCGTTTCCCATACAGGTGATACAGTATGCCACAAGCTAAACGTGCATTTTAATCTGAAAAAAATATACAAACTCTAATGAGCGTTGGCTTTTGATTAGAACAAGGTTTTAAATTTCAAAAAGATTTAGTGATATCGAAAGTATTTTAGCAACGTGCTATAATAACGTTATATTAGATTTATAATAACAATAAAAATGATATGGCGTATAAAATTTACAGTACTGAGAATATAGATTTATATTTATTAAATTTAATAAAGATATGCTTTTTTTATGCCTTTAAAACTGTAATAATAAACTTGTTATACTCTAAAGTGATAGTAATAGTTAAAAATTTACACATTAAAAGAGATAACTTCGGTGACTTATCTATAATTTGCAAAATTTTTTGTATTAAAGTTACAAATCAGCTTAACTAACGTCTGGTTCGGCTGAGAAATAGCTTAACTTAAATATAGAGTTAAAAATTAGCTCAGCTTTATTGAAATTAAGCCGCAAGCTGAGCCGAGTCAGATATTTGCATCACTACACCGGTTTCATTAATCATAAATCAATTAGGTAAAGTTTGTACAGTAATAACTTGTCATAATTAGGATGGTTTCATAAAAAGATAGGAAGAATATCAAGAATATGAAAGGAAAGAAGTTCTAATTTACATACTGTGACGGGCAAACGGCGAGTCTGTCGCTAGTGCCAACAGAGGTTCGCGTAACCGTTGCTCGTGTCTCTTTTAAATAGAAATTTGGTGATTTGAGGTGTATGATTCAGCCGAGTCTTTCTCACTTCTTGTATACGCACACCTTTATTAACAACATTTTCTTACTTATTTATACATTTTCTCGTCATCGCATAATAGATTAAGCTAACTATACTAGTTACAAAATGATGATTTTAAGCACTATTACATGATGATGAGCAATCTCACAATGTCATTGTCGTTGCTCACAGTCATTACATTGACTAGTCGTGACAGGATCGAATCTCGTGTCATTCAACGTAGATCGATCACGTGTTGGCGTAGTATCGTCGTTCGTTGTGGGGCGCGTACGATCCTCTATCATCGTCGCTCACTTTCGTCATGTTAATATGTCTATGGTTCTATTATCGTGACACTTGCTAACATTGGATAAATATTTTATTATTGGTTATTTTATTTTACCCCTTACAATACCCATCGTTATGCGAGCTCATTCCCGGATTAGCGATAGACTCGCCGATTAACATAATATTATCTAAATTTAGCATTCATTTTATTTTTTATCCTGATAGACCAATAATTTTTATACGGTGCCATTAACATTTATGACGTGTACATATCCGTTAATCATATTTATATATATAGTATTTAACTAACACATCAATTGTTCAATAATATAAGTGTAGTATAATAAGAGCTAATAAAATATGTAAGATATTCTAATTATACATATAATTACCCAACTTTAAATACCTAATATTTTCAACCATTTAACGATGAATACATGCTATATCTGCAAAAGGTATCAACAATGTATCCAATTTTGGCAAAAAGTATCAATAATGTATCCAATTTTTGCCAAATTATCAATTGTATGATCAATTGCATACTCTTTTACGTATAATTCACCATGAATTACATTTTCCTCCATTAATTCTCTGTTTAATTGAAATTCGACGGTAATTCGTTTCCAAAAGTCTAATGTATAAATTTACAATTAGCTATCATCATATAACATTTTTATAATAACAGTTAAAATTTACCTAATACACCTTTCGATTTTAAAATTTCTAATGTATTTTTAATGCATTCTAATTCGACAAAAAGACGATCCATGATCAAATTTTTATATCCTTTTTCATTTAATTCTATTAAACTGTCGTTTTCTTTATCTGCTTTCTTTATTAAAGATAATAAAAATTAAAATAAAAATTGACAATAACTTAATAATAAATATGTAATAAAAATTTCAGTTACCTTCTTATAATTTGTAATGTGAAAGCTTTCTTTGGATTTTTGGAACCATTCATCGACCTTGTTCTTTTTTTCTAGAATTTGTTCGTATATATTTTTTTCCATTTTTTTTTCAATTTTCTGAAGTGACTCTTCAAGTTTCTTAATTGCTCTGTCACGAACTTCATGAAGTTCACTAAATTGATCAGCAAATATTTCGCAACTTTCGATAGATTTGTCAATATAATTTAAATACGGGTCAGTTAAGTTTTTAATTTTCCCTCGAGAGTCAAGATCATTCTTCCATCCTTTGACGAATTCATTGTGATTTTCAGAAAAATACGAAAGGGTGTTAGACGCAAAAAATAACCCATCTTTGATCAATACTCCTAACTTAGCTGAATAATCATTGATTTTTTTAAGATCATTCAATAAGTCAATCTCCATGAAATTGCCAAACATTTCCTTGGATAAAAATTCTACATTATTTATCGTAACCTCAGGTATCTCATAAAAATACGTCGGATCTATACTAATCCTTGGGTCAAAATCACGTTCATCCCAATGATTAATTGCAAACTCAAATGATTTGTCAAATACACTATAATAGATAACCTAGTAAGAGGAATGGTGTATATATATATATATATATATATATTTATGCTTTAATAAGATGTATTATATAATTACCGCCTAATAGTTATATGGATTAAAAAATTCATAATTAATTTAGTTTAAAAAAAACACAAGACATTGTTATGTTTACTTTCTAAAAAATATACTTACTCCCTGATTAATTGCAAATATTATGTTTAATGGTTCATCATTTAATAATTAAGAAATGAATTTTGCACTTACAAACTAATAAATTTAAAATTAGCGAATTTAGATTAACGAAATGCTTATTCTCTGTGATTAATTTCATAGTTTTAAATTATATACTTACGATCTGAAATTTTTAAAGCAAAATGAATTCATTTTTATACACTGGCTGTAAACAAATATTAAGAGTATGATAATTTAATACTTACTCCCTTTTACGCATAAATCATTAGTTTACTTGTTAGAGACTTTTTGATAAATTGAACCACACGGTAAAGTTATACTCACGTTCTGGTAATTAGATATATGTAGTATATTAATTCTTAGTAACAAATTTTTAATGGAAATAAAATAACAAACTTATAATTCACCGTCTTTAATTAATGCGCAAATGTATAGTCAATATACATTATCAATAGTTATTGGGAAAAAAGTGCGTCTTATACCTACTTCCTTTTAATGTATAAAATACATAAGTTTAGTAATATGCAATTATCTAAAGAATTAATCCATACTTACGCAAATAAAAAAACGCGAAAAAATAAGTAGTAAACAAAATGACCAATTACTCACAAGCTTGTGATCAAAGATGAAATTAATAATTTTTTAATTATTTTCGATATCTAAATGACATATGTAATAAAATTAGATATCTACAACCTGAAAATTTCAAACTTACAATTTCAAACAATAATTTAAACTTTATACTCACAAGTCGGTAGTAGAATGTGTTTAAATCCTATTGGTGTATTAATATTTAGATAAACTTTATACTTACATCCTAATAATAGATCAAGATATATTATGATATATGTTAGAAGTTTTATTGTACATAAATGACACTAGTATTATAATTTAAATACACTTAAATAATATGTAACAATAAATTTATACTCACTGCCTAATTATTTGACGCAAATTAAGTATGTTAAATAATATTTGTAGATATTTATAATTGGCAAATATTGTACTCACCCCCTATTCATTATCACATAATATAAGCATTAATAATTAATATTAATATTATTTTAATTAATGAATGAATAGACCTTTACTCACTTTCTATTGTTCAACACAAAAATTAATTAGTAATTAGTATCTGCAAATGTTTTTATAGATAGTCAAACGAAGTTCATGCTTACAATCTATGATAAAAATAAACCAATTTAAGAATGCTGATAATTATATAATACGATATTTAAATGAGCTTCATACTTACTTTCTGTAATTTTAAAATAGAATTAATTAATACAATGCTTATGTATATTCTTATATGACTGATAAATTTTTTACTCACTCACTGTTGATAGAAAAATAAATTATAATAATATTCTTATTTCACATTGCAATAAATAACTTCATACTTACCGACTATAATTCAGCAAAGTAAATTAACAATTAAAATGAGTATAATTTTAAAAGATTATTAAGTTCACAACTATATACTTACAGCCTAATAATTCATCACAAAAATAAGCTTATTATTTATTAAAGTATTTATTTCAATATCCCGTTATACTTGCCGACTAATTATTTGACGAGAAAAAGAAATTAATCGATAAAAAATTCTTATAAAAATATATTTAATATCTAAGTAAACATATACCTTCTGTTAATTAATATTAAAATTATTGACATTTTATAATATCTAAAATTCTTCCGCTTTTAAATAAACTTCACACTTACAGGCTAATAATCAACAGAATAGGTTAAAGGTTAAATTTATGACAATATTTAATACATAACAATTTAAATAATTCTATACTTACTCGCTGTTAATTTAAATAAGAAATAATTTAAAAAACATATAACATATACAAAAAACTTTTATAAAAAATTTATACTTACTCTCTAATATTATAACATGCAATTAATAAAATCAGTATATTAAACTGGAAATCTAAATTATTTACGATTTATACTTACGTCCTATTATTTTTTTATCAATAAAAAATTATTTAGCAATAATTCTGGATACTCAAATGTATTTATAATTTAACTTACTCTCTGTATTTTAATGTAAGAATAAATAAACATTACAATTAAGAATAATATGAGATATACTTACAATCTAATGAATTAATATGAAACAGTCCGTTATTTAATAATAATTACAGACACTTTAATAAGTCTTATACTCACTTCCTAACAGTTTAACAAGATATGTCATCAATAACATTTGCAGACATTATTAATATATTAATTTAAAAAGATTTTGCTTACTCCCTGTAAATTGATAAAATAATTAAATATTATTCGTTATTTCTAATTTTAAGAATTTTAATACTCACGTCGCACTAAATTAATGCAAAAAAGATTTAATAATATATATAGAGTTATGATAATTAATTAAATTATACTTACATTCTAATATATTAACATGAATGCTCAACAATTTACAAAATGTTTATAAATTTATAAAATAACAAATGAAGTATATACTTACATTCTATTAATACGAAAAAAAAAATATATTAATGATATTTTAAAAACTAACAATAAAAATTATTTTACACTTACACCCTAATGAATAAAACATATTAATTATAAAACAAAAAAAAACAACATTACAACAGTATTTACATATACTTACAGCCTAATAATTGGACATGAAAATCAATTTTAATATAAAGTAATATTGTGCAATGATAAATAAGCCATATACTCACGCTCTTTAATAATGAATAAATTAATATTATAATATTCACATGTAAACACAAATGTAATAGTTATATAGGAATTAAGCATACTCTCTATTAATTTAATGCGATAGAAAATTTAATACTATTTGTTAACACGAACAGAATTTTTAAATAAACCATATACTTACGATCTAATAATTATTAGAAATAATTATAATATAAAAATTTAAAGATATACACATATTTTTTAAAAAACTATACTTACATTCTAAATGCATGCCATAAAAATAAAACAAAATTTAATAGCAAACAAATGATTTCATTATTTTAATTAAGTATAATTTATACTTACGGCCTATTAATTAATGTAAAAAATCAAACCCAGTATCAAAAAAAGTTAATGAGTGAATGATTTATTATTCATTATATTATAATGAAAACCTTATACTTACATCCTGTCAATTTAAAATAACTATCAATATATAATATTATTCACATTAATCATTATAATTAAGATAAACTTATACTTACACCCTGTTAATATAACACAAAAAAATTTGAAGGTATATATAATGCATATTAATTTATTACTAAAATTAAGACTTACCTCCTATTAATTTGACATAAAATAATCGAGAGTCAAATATTATTTATATCAATAATTATAATCAAGCAAACTCTTTACTTACAAACTGTAAATTTAAAACAAAAATTATTAAGAGTTAAATATTATTCACATCAATTATTATAATTAAGCAAACGTGATACTTACACCCTGTTAATTTAACACAAAAATAATTAATAATTAAATATCATTCTTATCAATTATTATAATTAAGCAAACTTTATACTTACCAACTGTTAATTTAACACAAAAATAGTTAAATATTATTTATATAAATTATATAATTAAGCAAGCTTTATACTTACAAACTGTTAATTTAACAAAAATAATAAATAATTAAATATTATTATTATCAATTATTATAATTAAGCAAACTTTATACATACTCCCTGTTAATTCAACACAAAATTAATTAAGAGTTAGATATTATTATTATCGATTATTATTATTAAGAAAAACATTATACTTACAAACTGTTAATTAACATATAAACAATTAAGATAAATATAATTCGTATCAATTATAATAATTAGGAATTAAATATTATTCGTATTAATTATAATAATTAAGCAAGCTTTATACATACTTTCTGTTATTTTAACACGAAAATAATTGATAGCTAAATATTATCTATATCAATTATTATAATTATGCAAACATTATACTTACTCCCTGTTAATTTAACAAAAATAATTAATTATCCATACAAATTATTATAATCAACCAAACCTTATACTTACTGACTGTTGATTTAACACAAGAATAATTAGGAGTTAAACATTATTCATATTAATTATAATAATTAAGTAAACATTATACTTACTTTCTGTTATTTTAACAGTAAAATAATCAAGAGTTAAATATTATTTGTATAAATTATTATAACTACGCAAACTTTATACTTACTCCCTGTTAATTTAACAAATGATAAATTAAGAGCTAAATATTATTTATATAGATTATTATAATTAAGAAAGCCTTATACTTACGCCCTGTTAATTTAGCATAAATATAATTAAGAGTTGAATGCTATTTATATTAATTAATAATTTATAATGATTTAAACTTACTGACTGTAAATTTAACACAAATAATTAATAGTTAAATATATTTATATTAATCATTGCTATTAAGTAAACTTTATACTTACGATCTATTAATTTAACACAAAAATAATTAAGTATTAAGTATTATTCGTATTAATTATTGAAATTAATAAATTTTATACTTACTCCCTGTTAATTTAACACAGAAACGATTAATAATTAAATATTATTCATATCGACTATTATAATAAGCAAACTTTTTACATACTCCCTGTTAATGTAACACAAAAATAATTAAGAGTTAAACATTATTCATAGAAACTATTATAATTAAGCATACTTTATACTTACGTCCTGTTAATTTAACACGAAAATAATTTCGTTGAATATTATTCGTATCCATTATTATAATTGTGCAAAATTTATACTTACATCCTGTGAATTTAACATTAAAATAATATATAAAGTTAATGCTATTTATATCGATTATAATAATTAGGGAAACTTTATACTTACAAACTGTTAATTAACGCAGGATTAATTTTGAGTTAAATATTATTTACATCAATTATATAAATTAAGAAAACTTTATACTCCCTATTCGTTTAACACATAAATAATTAAAAGTTAAATATTATTTATATAAATTATTTTAATTAAGTAAACTTTATACTTACAAACTTTTAATTTAACTCAAAATTAATTAATTAATTATTATTTAAATCGATTATTAACTTTATACTTACTTTCTATTATTTTGATACAAAATTAATTAATATAAATATTATTAATATCAATTATTATAATCAAGCAAACTTTATACTTACTCCCTGTTAATTTAACACAAAAAAGTTAAGATTCAAATATTATTCTTGTTGATTTTTTTAATTAATTAGACTTTATACTTACCCCCTGTTAATTCCGCACAAAAATAATTAAAAATTAATAACATTCGTATAGATTATCATAATTAAGAAAAATTAATACTTACCAACTGTTAAATTGTCACAAAATAATTAAGAATTAAATATTATTTAGATCGAGTATTATAGTTGAGCTAATTTTATACTTACGACCTGTAATTAAATAATTAAGAGTTAAATATTATTCACATCGATTATTATAATTATACAAGCTTTATACTTACTCACTGTTAATTCAGGACATAAATTATCAAGAGTTAAATATAATTAATATCGATAATTATACTTAGGCAACTTTGTACTTACATCCTGTTATTTTAACACAAAAATAATTGACAGTTAAAAATATCGTTTATATAAATTATTATTATTATGTAAACTTTATACTTACTCCCTGTTCATTTAACACAAAAATAATTAATTATCCACACCAATTATTATAATTAAGCAAACAATATACTTACTGACTGTTGATTTAACACAAAAATAATCAGGGGTTGAATATTATTCATATTAATTATAATAATTCAGCGAACTTACTCACTGTTAATTTGACACAAAAAAATTGAGTTAAATATTGAATTGATTAATATATTTAAGCAAACTTTATACTTACACCCTGTTAATTTAATACAAAAATAATTAAGATAAATATTATTTATATAAATTGTTGTAATTATGCAAACATTATACTTACAAACTGTTTATTTAATATAAAAATAATTTAGTTAAACATAATTCATATAATTAATTATAATTAAGTAAACTTTGTACTTACGTCCTATTATTTTAGTGCAAAAATATTAAAGAGTTAAATATTATTTATATCAATTATGATAATTAAGCAAACTTTATACTTACTTTCTGTCAATTTAATACAAAAATAATTGAGAGTGAAATATTATTTATATAAGTTATTGAATAAAGCATGATTTATACTTACTCCCTTTAATTTAACGCAAAAATAATTACCAGTTAAAATATTGTTTATATTGATTATTATTACAATTAAGATCACTTTATACTTACTCCCTGTTTATTTCACACAAAAATAATTAAGAATTAAATATTATTCATATAAATTATTATAATTAAAAAACTTATATACTTACTTTCTGTTATTTTAACACAAAAAGAATTAAAAGTTAAATATTATTTATATCGATTATTATAATTAAAAAAACTTATATATACTTCCTGTTAATTTAACACAAAATAATTAAATATTAAATATCATTCGTATTAATTATTATAATCAAGTAAACTTTATACTTACAAACTATAATTTAACAAAAGAATAATTAATAATTAAATATTATTTATATCAACTATTATAAATAAGCAAACTTTATACTTACCCACTGTTCATTTCACACAAAAATAATCAAAAATTAAACACTATTCATATAAATTATTATAATTAAAAAACTTATATACTTACTTCCTGTTATTTTAACACAAAAATAATTAAAAGTTAAATATTATTAATATTTATTATTATAGTTAAGTAAACTTTATACATACCGACTGTTGATTTAACACAAAATAATTAAGGGTTAAATATTATTCTTATCAATTATTGTAATTAGGGAAGCTTAATATTTACTAACTTTTGATTTAACACAATAATAATTAGGAGTTAAATATTATATACGTATCCAATATTATAATTAAGTAAACTTTATACTTACAACCTGTTGGTTTAACAAGAAATAATTAAGAATTAAATATTATTCATATCAATTATTATAATTAAATAAACTTTATGCTTACCAACTGTTAATTTAACATAAAAATAATTATGAGTTGAATATTATTCATATTTATTATCTTAGTTAAGCAAACTTTACACTTACATTCTGTTAATTTAACACAAAAATAATCAAGAATTAAATAATATTTAATTTAATTCTTATGATTAAGTTAACGTCATACTTACAGACTGTTAATTTA